GTATTCAAAAGTACTTACGAGACCGGCGATGTAAGTAGGTACAACGAGGAACGAGGAACATATTCATTTTTTTCACTAGAACTTTTTATCAAATCAATCACACTGGTAGTACACAATTAGTTGTTTCTAATCAAAAAGTATTTACACTAGCAATAAAAAGAGACTTAAATTATTATCTGCAAAATTGTTGCTCTAAACCACAATTTTGCTGCAAACAAAGGTAGGCATGTTTGCGGACGTGTCTTTTCACCTTTTTTAAAGTGTCCCTATCACTACTGACTGCACAAAATGCAACTTCTATGGTGTGGGGACTCATTCGTAAACCAAACCTACTTCGTCACACTCGCGATAGCAATACACCATCTCTAAATATTCTTGGTTCGTATACCGAGGCATAATGAAATTATCACAGTGTATGTCACTAAGTCAAAAGATGCGCACGCTCACGCGCGATTGATATACTTGCGACTGCGTTTTGCATGCAATCAAAGTAAACCACCGCGTGCGGGGAAGAGGGGAGGTGGGCGGAATTCACATCATCAAAGACGCCGCAACCGGCGCTAGTTGCCAGCGTGCGGCGCGCCGCTCGCCCATGCTTGCCGCAAAACAACATATTATTATGTATGTGTGTGTGTGTGACTGTGGCTGTGATTAAACGTTTTGGGAATTTCATGACGTGGGCAAATCAGACACGAAGAGTTCCTTCCTTCACTAAGCTCGTAAGTTATACCGATTTGCTCTGTATGATTTTTCACAATTTTAAATAAGCCGTTTGTGCTTAAGTTTTAATTAAACGAGGCAACTAACATTAACAATAAAAAAGAATTTCTTACACTAACTAACAGACAGGCTTTACCGATTTAAAATCGTGACTGTCATATTAACTTTATAGGATTTTTAATTGCTCTAACAGAAGATTTATTTTATTGATTAATTACCTGTGCTTTATGAAATAATATTCAAAGGTATTGTGTATCAGTGAATAAATAATTATAATAAAGCATCTAAGACTATTTTATTGTAATGTTTTTAAATAGTGTGGATCAAAGCGGAGAGTAGGTAAGCGCCGAGTCATCTGTGCGTGTAATAGGTACCTACACAGGCGGCCGCCGCGCCGGTCGTCGCCCCGACCGGCGCTGATCTCGACTGGAGGCATAATGAAGGCATTCATTAAGTTTCCGTTTTTTTAGTAGTGCTTATTTTAAGTTGCTTTATAACTTCTATGTAGACATGTTTAAAATGAATAATTACTCATAAGGAAGAAATGACAAAAAAATAACCAAATAAAAAATTAAAAACCGAAAAATTTTATTTTAAAAAATCCGAAAAAAATCAGGCATTATCTATACACGTAACCCAACAATCTCACAAAGTTTCATAGAAACATTCAATTTCACCCTGTATATACATATATATATATTGTTTTTCATTTTGGTAATTAAAGCTATTATAAGAATAAAACAATATACAAAAAACAATTCACTAAAATTCAATTACACTTTTGTTCCTTTAATCTCTCCACTCTCACAGATTGCGTGAAAGCTTCGAGGCAATAGTGCAGTCATTGAAGCATTATTGCTCCGAATTTTTTTACTGTGAACCGAATTGCATACAATTTTGGAATTAGGTTCATCTTACCCTTAACTTCAAAAGAGAAAATGATTTGAACTCCGCAACCACCCTGGGGGTGGTTGCCACCCCCTCGGGGGTGATTTTTTTTTCAAAATAACCTCGGATATCGATAGAAGGCCTAATTTTAAGCAAAAAATCATCTATAAAGTTTTTCAAAAAATCCAATACTTTTCAAGTTTTTGGCAATTCAAAATTCGCAATTTTTTCACGTTTTTCATCGGTTTTTTGCAAATATCTCCAAAAATATACGTTTTATCGAAAATTTTATGAACAATATTAAGCTAGATATTAAAGATCATAGCCGTTTTTTATTTTATCTGAAATTTAATCGATGTGGTCAATGCCATCTAGCGGCGAGCAGATGCATTTTATGCATTCTAATACAAAAGGGGTGGTGCAAATAGGGGGTGGTGTCATCGCGTCCGCAGGTAACACCTTTAACAGCCCTGTACGTGCCCCCTGGGTGGTGCTAAACGTTGACAACGCCGAGTATCGGGCGGCGGTAAATAACCCGACCCCCCTGTGAAAACAGGGTGGCTTCAGTGGCCATGGGAGCTAAATAACCCCAAAAAGACTGGTGCGGAAAGGAAGGGAAATCTACCGCAACTACACTCCCAAGAAAACTATGAAGGACAAACACACAAAGAAGGATATGTCATGCCATCCGGCTGACGACCGGCGCCAGGCTGAGTCCGGGTCTCCTGGTGTGAAATTGGCTACCGGCTACGTTGCAGTGAGACAACAGGCTGCAGGTAGAAAATGGACTACTGTTGGTCAATCGACATCAGGACATATCCGTAGAAACCAGCTACTCAACATAGGCACGTGGAATGTTCGTACTTTGATTCAACCCCGGAAAGTGGAGATCCTAGAGCGAGAGATGGACAGATACGGTCTGGATGTGTTAGGTATCAGTGAAACTCACATTAAGGACAGTGGACACACCCCAACTGCTAGCGGCAAACTGAGGATTAATTCTGGTAGCACTGACAACAGCTTTAGCGGGGTAGGGTTTCTGGTCTCTAAGAAATTAAAGACAAAATCTTAGGCTACGATGCGGTCAACGACAGGATAGTTAGATTAAAACTTGCGGCACATCCATATCCTCTCAATCTTATTCAGGTTTACGCGCCAACATCCAAATCTTCGGACGATGAAATTTGCAACTTTTACGCGGATCTATCAACTGTATATAATTCTATTCCCAGTAAGGAACCCACTGTTCTCATGGGTGACCTAAATGCAAAGGTTGGCTATACATCGATGGATGATCACCTAAGGGATTATGTGGGCCGATACGGCATGGGGCAAAGAAACGAACGTGGGCAGCTATTACTGGATTTCTGCGCTGAGAACGGTTTTACGATAATGAATACTTGCTTCCAACAACATGTCAGACGATTATATACTTGGACATCACCAGACGGTAACTACAAGAACCAGATTGATTATGTACTAATGGGTAAAAGGTGGAGATCTTCTGTCCAAAGCGTTAAAACAAGACCTGGAGCTCAACTGCTACATGCAAAGGTTAAAATTCGCCTGAAGTTGTTTAAGAATTTCCCTACCCAAAAGCCAATTAAGCTTGATCACACTGCCTTAGCGAAATTCCAGGAACTTGTAGAAAGCAGACCTCCTTGTTCTAAGAATAACCCTTTTATTTCGGCTAATGATGCATGGGGTGATTTTAAAAACACAGTCTTGGAGATAGCTAAAGAAGCAGTTTTAGCTTCCAGTCGTGATCGACCAAGAGCTGAATGGATGACTGATACGACCTGGGAAGCGGTGATGGAAAGAAGGTCAGTTAAAGAATCAGGCTTAACAAATGATGCCACACGTGAACAATACTTAATGCTCCATGCAAAGGTTCAAAAACTGTGCAGAAGGGATAAAGATGCGTTTTTAAACCGATTGTGCGACGAGATTGAGAAGGAATCTAACACATTGCACGCGGGTGACATGTTTCGCAAGATCAAGTTGCTTACAAAGGAATCCAAATCTCAATCTTGGACGATTGAAGATGCTGAAGGAGTCCCACTAATAGACAGATAAGCAATACTTGAAAGATGGAGGAGCTACTGCCAAACGTTGTACAGCGACGATTCCAAAGATCAAGACGAGGTGGTCTATAACGATGCTGACAGGCAACCCAATATAATGTTGCGCGAAGTGGAAAATGCAATTGACAAGCTGAAACTGAAAGCGTGTGGTGGCGACGGAATCAGCGCGCAAATGATCAAGCGCCTAGGTACAGATGGCATCAAAACATTACACACGATATGGCAAAAAGTGTGGGATACCGGACATTGGCCTGAGGATTGGACAGAATCTGTAGTTATTCCGCTGCACAAGAAAGGATCCACCCGCAAATGTACAAATTACCGGACCATTTCACTTATTCCCCACGCCAGTAAAGTGTTGCTACATATCCTCAACAAACGGCTGGAACGTTATATCGGTAGGCAAATAACAGGCTGGATTCGTCAAGCGCAAGGGTACTCGCGAACAAATATTAAATATCAGACAGCTAATCGAAAAAAGCCGTGAATTCAACGTTCCAATGGTGTTATGCTTCATTGATTACGCAAAAGCCTTTGATTGTGTAAATTGGGCCAAAATGTTTGCGGTGATGGTGGAGATGGGTGTGCCTAGGCATCTGGTCTCCTTGGTGCAGAATTTATACCTTACCGGCAGGAGCAGGGTAAGAATGGATGGTTATGTCTCCGACTCCTTTGAGCCAGCTCGTGGTGTACGTCAGGGATGCATACTATCACCCCAGTTGTTCAACCTAGTTGGTGAGCACATAATGCGCAGAGTACTCGAGGACTGGAAGGGTGGTATTCGAATAGGGGGCCAACTTATCAATAACTTACGTTTCGCCGATGACACGACCATAATAGGAGCCGATGAACGAGAACTGGCTTTCCTACTGCGCAAGGTTCAAGACGTCAGCGTGGAATATGGCCTTTGTATAAACCGTGACAAAACCAAGCTTATGTTTGTCGATAGAGCTGACAAGTTGGTAAGAACATTTGAGCTGAGTGATTTAGACACAGTTACCAGTTTTGTGTACCTGGGATCACTTATACGCAATGACGGGGACTGCGAGGCGGAGGTGGTCAGACGCGGACAGATGGCAAAGGCTGCCGTGAAGCGATTGGAGAGGATCTGGAAGAACAGAGGAATTACTAAATCCACTAAAGTGCGGCTGATGCGAGCCCTGGTCTTCTCGATTTTCTTATACGCTTCCGAAACCTGGACGTTGAAAGCACGCGTCCGTTCCAGGATTGATGCATTTGAAATGTGATGTTGGCGCAGAATGCTACACATACCTTGGACCGCACGAAGAACTAATGCATCTATCTTGAAGGAGCTGGGTATCAAGACGCGTCTCTCTTCTGTCTGCATGCAGCGCCTCCTAAAATACTTCGGTCACGTAGCAAGGAGAAGCCCGGATAATTTTGAAAAGCTTTTGGTCGTTGGAAACGTCGAAGGCAAGAGGAGTAGGGGCAGGTCTCCATCCCGGTGGTTGGACATAGTTAAAGAAACTACGAATGGCAACTTGCAGGCGTCCATCCGCCTTGCAGAACACAGAACAGTCTGGAGATCGTTGGTGAAATGTGCTGTCCTGAAAGGTCACGACCCTCAGCCACGAGGAAACGACGATGAAGAAGACACAAAAGGGTTTTGTAGTCTTTGAAATAAGCTTTAAAATAAGCACTATTAAAAGTCTTTTGCACGTAAAATAAGTGAGCTGTATTGCAAATAAGGGGAGCATCTAATGTTTTTTTTTTAAATCAATGGGTTTCATAAGTGCCATTTCCACCAAAATTAAAATTAATCGTATTCCGCCTAGAATTAACTTTAGAAACCGATCAGGCTGAGACTTTGCATGCAGGTATAAGAAGAATCATAGATGAATGTCCTTGTGTATAATACAAGCCTGAGAACAAAAACTGTAGTCTACACTTCAACTCTACACCGAAGCGATGCGAGGGCGGGCCACTAGTATATACATAAAATGGCTCATATATTTTGGAAACGTAGGCATGAATACATACCATGTCCTTATATTTCATTCATTTTATCAAAAAAATAATTTTTAACAATTTTTTATCAAGGGGTAGTTTTCAAGGGTTGAAAGGGGGTTAAAAATTTGATAATTATTATAGAGAATATAAAATATTACTTACTCTATACTTACATCTTTTTATGTCATACCAAAGTATTTTTTTGTGATTTTTTCAATTTAGGGGTTGTTTGCAAGGGTTGTATGATTTTCAAGGGTTTGAAAATGATTTTAATATGAGGTAATTATGTTAGAAAATACTTTACAATTTCACCACTTACTATTAGACATGTTTTCTAGCGATAAAATGGCTCAATGTCAATTTTTCCATTAAGGGGTTGTTTACACCCCTTAAAAATAATAGGCGGAGTTCAGATCATTTTCACTTTTGAAGTTAAGGGTAAGATGAGCCTAATTCCAAAATATCATGCAAATCGGTTCACAGTTAAAAAATTCGGAGGTAAGACCGTATTTTTCGCTTCAATGACTGCACTACAAGCGCGAACAAATATTATATTACACATAAAAAAACACTGGTGTATTCCGAAATATAAAACAGTACGCTGGCCAGTGGTATATGGCGTCGAAATCATGACGTCATTACCACTGGCCAGAGTACCTACTGGTGTTTGATTCGGAATACACCCTACATTTTCATCGGTAGGTGAAACAAACTTAACTTAACTGCACTTTTCCGTACAAAGAATACTAAGTAGGCACGCGTTCAAACGATTTATTTTAAACTAGAGGTCGCCCGCGACTTCGTCTGCGTTAACTTAGTTTCTTGAAAATCCCTCTGGAACCTAACATTTTTTCGGGATAAAAGTAGCCTATGTGTTATTCTAGGGTGTCAGCTAACTCCATACCAAATTTTATTAAAATCGCTCCAGCCGTTTCGACGTGAAGAAGTAACAAACATACACACTCACAAACTTTCGCATATATAATATTAGTGTGATAACTCTAATTTTAATGTATAATTCCTATAGTACCTACATGTGCTACAATTCTTTTATTTAGTTTCAGAGCGTAATTCTATTAAAATTCAAAATGGCGACTGCATAGAAACGAGGGATTGCAAATCAGTTTCATCAGGCGTTTTTCTATTTTATTGAGTACTATTAAAATACAACAATTAAACAATGAATTGAATATACAGTCTCACAAAACTGATTATAGAAAACAGGTGCGTAACCCTTTTTGTTTTAATCTAAGACTTAACCTATCGATTCAGCAGTCAATTGAGTTTTATTGATCGTAAGACTTGGCAGTATGGCTTAGTACCTTCGCCTGTCCCAATGGACGAAATTATACTACTACTGAGTTTTATTGATGTCAATCTGTCAATCAGCGTTCAATCATTTTCAATCGTATCGGTCCATTGGGCGTGTACATGGGATGTATGTGGTAGTCCAACAGTTCGTGGTGGTATTCCATTCTGAAGGCTTGAACTATCTGGAAAATTAAAAAGAAAATTATTCACAATTATAGATTGGCAATAGGTTTCCTCCGTGCTTCGGAAGGCACGTTAAGCCGTTGGTCCCGGCTACATCTGCAGTCGTTAGCACCCACCAATCCGCACTGGGCCCGCGTGGTGGGTCATGGCCCAATCTCCCTTTTCCATCCATAGGGAAGGCCTGTGCCCCAGCAGTGGGGACATTAATAGGCTGATGATGATGATGAATAGGTTTCTTCATGGAGCCATGGGTTTTTTACTAGTAAGAAGTATCTACTGGCAATATGATAAGGTAAAACTATTAATGAAAAAACCGAAGATTTAGCTGTCTTAAATGACTTTCGATACATCGTGAACATTGTCGTCATTCATACTACCCTAATTTACATACACGATATTACATCAATATTACTATATATATCCAAACTCAGCGAATCTTCTTCCTAAACACATTCTTCGTCCGAACCCGAATGGCAGCGAAGCGAACGCGTGATGTTTACCAGCTGTCTTCAATAGGGTATTTGACAGTTTTAAAAATAAAGTGCCAATTGTTAGCATCTGTATTTAGAATGAATATTGGCAGGAGTTTTTACTATTTTTACAGAAAAAATATTCATAATTGTACTAAAATCCCATGATAAAGATAATAGTTTTCTTGTCTATTGTCACGTGACCCAAAACGCTTGGGATTGGTGCAGCCAAAAATGACGTCACACGCAAGTAAACTTCCGGTTAAAGTGACATTTGATTGTATGGTTTGACGTTTTAATGACAGTCGTGTGACGTCACACACCAGTGCCACGCCATATTGTCCAGAGATACGTTTTTCGCGTCAACTTGAAAATAGAGTTTTTGATTTGGTTTTTTTACCGAAATACACAACATAATTTTTATGGACTCTATAAACATTAGTAAATAACGTGAGATCGCTTTCTAAAACTTGTCAAATACCCTATTACCATCGCTTCACCAAGAATTCTAAATATGGAGTATCATCTTCGTCTGGTTTATGTGGAAAAAATGTATAGAAAATGTCGATATTAACTGCTTCGGTGAAACCCACGATCCTTCTCAGGTTTTTCTGTTTCGTATGTTTTCACGCACATCACTCATTAAATAAAACAGTTTTAATAAGGTTAAGGATACATGCACTGAGTTTATTTATTTACTGACGTTTCGTGTCCTTTTCAGCAACGCATCTTCAGAATAATGTTTTTTATTACTTTGTCGAGCTACCTTCGAAAGACTTTTATTGAGCGTTCGGATATTTCACTGGAAGATTTTTAAAACTTAATTGACTATGCTTGAATTTATTAGCTAATTTAATTAATAAAGTAATTTATTTATTTGACAATAACTACCATAAACTACCATCGGTTCTAAAATTGGGAGACCTTTCTGAGAAGAACCAGCGAAACAAACTCAGAGAGGCTTTCTATATCCCTCTTATGTTAAATCATGCAAACAAAAAGAACTAACAGAATTGCAGTGTGTGCTCGGGGTTGGGTTTTTGTCTGTTGTATAATGGGTTGCCCGCTGCCTTGATTATTATTACTTGATATTAAAAGCTCCGATGGAACCCAAGATCCTTCTCAGTCTTATAGTACAAAGCACACTGCTCTTGATATTGATTATAACCGCTCCGGTGCGGTGATGGAACCCAAGATCCTTCGCAATTTATAGTGGAAAGGCTTTCATGTTGAAAACATAAGAAGAATAGATTTATTTATTTGGAATAACATACGTACCATGAATTTGACAGTGTGTATTACGAGCTCGACTTTGCGAGTCGTTATAAGCAGCTTAGAGTCAAGATACCTCACAGACAGGTATAGGTTGGTGTTGACTTAAAGAAAGACAGACGTGTTTGTTCGGAATACGTGCTGAAGAAATGTCTGTGAATATCTCAAGATCGACTTATTCGGTACTTTCGGCAGCTTTCCTTAATAGGACCATAGAATTTCAAGATCCCTCGCAGACTAGTAGTAGAAAGCTTAGCTAAAATATTGAGTTTACCTTGCATATAACGGTATGTATCTCCAACTCAGCGAATCTTCTTCCTAAACACATTCTGCGTCCGAACCCGAACGGAAGCGAAGCGAATGCGTGATGTTTGCCCGATGTCTTCAATAACCACCGCTCCGGCCGGAATTCTGAGGCGGAAACGAAGTTCTCTTCGCTGTTACTCATTACGTAGTGTTGGAATATCACTTGCGTCTGTATGGAAGAACGAAAGGATTAATAAGATCATTATCTTCAGCCTATTTGTGTCCTCACTGCTGGGGCACAGGGCTTCCCTTTGGATGGAATAGGGAGATTGGGCTATGACCCCCTACGCGGACCCAGTGCAGATGGGTGCTAACGACTGCAAATGCAGCCGGGACCAACGGCTTAGCGTGCCTTCCGAAGTATGGTGGACTTTGAGATACCTAGTAAATATTTGGTCACCAATCCAATGACCGACCACTGCGAAACTTGCTTAACTTCAACAATCGCGTCTGAGCGCGCTAACCACTTGCGCCATCAAGCTCCTCAATATATTAAAGGATAGCTGCAGGATAATAGATATAGATTCCGCAAATGTAATGTACTTCGCGTGTCAAAAGGATGAGCAAAGATCCGCCTGACGCTATTTTATTTCTTTGCGTCACCGTCCTCGGCAAAAGCAGTAGATTTAAGAAAGGTTTCCAACATCAAGCAGTTACATGCTTTAAAATAATAAAAATTATAACTATAATTGCTATTTCTTCTTTCAAATGATTAATACTTGTAAAAGTATTCATTTGACATTGTGGGTTACCTATAATGCGAAGAGATGGCGCTGCCTTGCAGCTTAAGAATGGCTAGAAGAATTTCGACGCGGTCCGTGAGGGCCGCGGTAGCATAATTGGTCAGTGCATTCGCCCGGATTGCGAAGGGTTCGGGTTCGAATCCCGTCTGCTGCCTGGTCCGCGTGGATTTTTTTTCTAGTTATAAGTATAAAGATTTTAGAAAATATCCTGAGTATTGTTTCTACTGCTATCGGATGTCAGAAGCAAACTTGGATAAAATTATAGAAAATTGAAGGTCCATACAGTACCTACATGGATACGACATGTAAACGGCTCTTTCTGGCAGTTCCTTTTTACTTTTGTTCTAGTATTAAAGCAACAAAACATACAGCTTTTTTGAAACCCATCCTCAAATTGCGATTTAAACCTTGTTTAGTTTCGTTGATTTTAATCATAGTTACAGTACGCCGTTTGGCGCTTTACCGTTTGCGAGAAAAACCGTAGTATGGCCTAAGCCATAAATGTTATACTTACTCCCTTGGGGATGTGATATCCGCAAATTACTGTGTCTTTTGTCAGCTGCCTACCGTTGCCGACCACCACTGGAAACATTCTGAAAAGTTACCATGAAAATAAATCAAACTTGACAAAGGTATTTTCCTTTCATAATGGAGTAGTAGGAGGGAAGTAATCTCCACATTCATCATCATCATCATCATCAGTCTATTAATGTCCCCACTGCTGGGCCACAGGCCTTCCCTGTGGACGGAATAGGGAGATTAGGCCATGACCCACCACGCGGGCCCAGAGCGGATTGGCGGGTGCTAACGACTGCAGATGCAGCCGGGACCAACGGCTTAACCTGCCTTCCGAAGCACGGAGGAACTCGAGATAGAAAATTGTTGGTCACCCATCCAATGACCGACCACTGCGAAAGTTGCTTAACTTCAACGATCGCAGCTGAACGCGCTAACCAACCGCGCCATTGAGCTCCTCACATCACAAAATAATAACTCAGTTTCACATGAAGAACATAATAATATTAAGTGGACCCGGAATAAATTGGTTATCATCATCATTGGCCTATTAATGCCCCACTGCTGGGGCACAGGCTTTCATCAATGGACCCTTTGGTGGGTTTGGTGGACCCTCCAAAGCTGAAAGCTGAGCTCAAAATAAAAAAAAATAGTGACCCATCCATGGACTGGCCGTTGCAAAAGTTGCTTAACTCCACGATCGTACTAGCCACCGAGCTCCTAATGATGCAGTCACTTACCTCAGAACTTCCTTCACGCAAGCTCTCAAATAAGGCATCTGGTTTACGTCTCCCGGTCTCATGGGTCTGTTTTGAAGAACTTTGGTGATTTCCTCGTACAACTTCTCTTGGACAGCAGGTCTGAGTGACAGCTGGTACAAAATAGAGGCCACGGCGTTGGATGTCTGCAAAATTTCATAAAAAAATTATTATTAATTTAAAACATCAATTGAAAGCTACAAAGACTATTATAAAAACGAAAATATTATTATTCCAAGACAATTTTATAATGCGAAATTCTTTCATATTTTGGATAAAAATTTTATTGTAAAGCGTGTTTTTGTAATTACCGATAAGTAAATAAATCTTTCAGTTTCTGCCAATCTTTCCACGGTTGTCAGGAAGAAATCGCTTCAAGCGATAAGACCGCCATTTGTGACACCCTGCTTTGATTTAAAATGTTATTTTTATATTGTTAATTAATTGGTAGTTATCTTATCTTAAGTAATCAATGTAATAGTGTCCCCTTTTTCATCAATAACATCTGACAAGAGTGGCATAATTGACTTTTACAATGGCTGGTCCTCATACCCATAAATGTATTATATCGATCTTTGATCTACTGAAATCTCACTCTTTTTGGACATTATTAATTCAGCTGTTGGTCCCACTTGTATTTGCTTCGTTAACACCCACAAATCCACACTATGGTGGTTTTCCAATTACAGAGCATAATGCGACTCAGTGGCGCACAATGCCGAATTATGCTGATGCTTAATTGGAACGTGAATTAGTTTTCAAATACACCAGCAGAGTGCGCTAAGTTCAGTGTTGAAAAAAAAGTCAATGTTTGTACCTTCATCCATATTTACATTTAATTTTTTAACACAGTTTGAATTAACTTTGATTATTTAAAAAAAACTATAATGATAAAAAAACGAAAGTTTTATTAATTTTTCAACAATATATAATATTAGTAACGATAACATTTAAAAAACATTTCGATCATTGCCAACTTAAAGAAAAAACACTTGTTAATTTTCTGTCTCTGAGTTTGGATGCGTGCAATCACGCATCACACGAAAGCATTACTTTTGAGTGTGTTCGATTGTGCGAAGCGTTGCGTAGTTGAAACACTCAACGTTAAGCATTATGCCGCATAATGCGCTATAATGCTGTAATTGGAAAGCTACCTATGTCCACGCGGTGGATTTCGATATCACCCAGTGCAGATTGGTGGGTGCTAACTACTGCAGATGCAGATGAGAATAACGGCTGAACATGCCTAATGAAGCTCGAGATAATAATATTTTGGTCACCTATCCAATGACCGACCATTGCGAAAGTAACTCAACTTCCACTATCGCAGATCTAATGCGCTAACCAACTGCGCCGTCGAGCTCCTCCACGTATTTCAGAGTGTTACAATCATAATATATATATATATATATATGCAGCAGCTCGATGGCGCATGTGGTTAGCGCGTTCGGCTGCGATCGTTGAACTTAACAACTTTCTCAGTCGGTCATTGGATGGGTGACCAAAAATTACCATCTCGAGCTCCTCCGTGCTTCGGAAGACACGTTAAGCCGTTGGTCCCGGCTGCATCTGCAGTCGTTAGCACCCCTCAATCCGCACTGGGCCCGCGTGGTGGGTCATGGCCCAATCTCCCTATTCCATCCATAGGGAAGGCCTGTGCCCCAGCAGTGGGGACATTAATAGGCTGATGATGATAGATGATAGGAGCAGCGACTTGTTTCCGCCTGTCCTCGAATCCTCCAGTGCCATTTCCAAGTATTTCAGAGTGTATCAATCCCGTAAATAAAATAAATTGCTATAATGAGAATGGGATAAATCTTACAGTATCAATGCCAACGAGGAACATGTCCAGAGCAGCCACGGCCGCTACACGCGGCCCCGCGGCCGTCACCAGTTCCTGCAGCAGCGACTTGTTGCCGCCTGTCTTTGAGTCCTCCAGTGCCCTCTCCACGTATTTTAGAGTCACACTGGAAATAAACAAATCATTTGTGCCAACACTTAAGATGCCTGGTAAATAACATGACACGTCTTGCTTAGTATATAAATATCACCCCTCCCTCCCTTACTCTATCCCCTACACCGAGAGACTATCTTTTTCTTTCGAAACCTTGTTCACAGAGTGGAATAATTCTCCCTGTACCTCTTTATTAATGACTGGGTAAATCGTGACCCCTTTGTCACCATCGAGGTGGGAACGAGGATTAATGATTGAAAAATAATGTGATGGCTGCTCCCTGCTCATGTCTGTCTATTAAAACTACGCAATTTAAGAGTCGAGAATCTTAATTAGTGCATATAGATAGGGCGGAAGTGGTGGTAGTGCCCCGTTGGGAATCAAATAGTTTCCTCCCGCAGCCATCAGTCAATTCCATCAGTCATGAATGATAAAAAACCATTGCAACTAATAATGCATCAGTCACCCCATTAGACGACACAGGTATCCATCAATCAAAACCTAGTCGAATGGACGCTTTAGGACTAGCCAAAAACCCGCCAGTGAATAATTAATTTATACCTGAAATCATCCCCACCAAGGAGCTCTCAGTTCCAGTTCTCCCATGCACAGGAAGAATGTAAGTTTAGTTATTATGAATACCTGAGGATGGTATCCAATGCAGCTACTTACGCTTGAACATCCTGGTGGTGTATGATCTCTACCAGGGGACTCTTAGTTCCAGTTCTCCCACACACAGGAAGAATGAAAGTTTAGTTATTATGATTACCTGAAGATGATATCCAACGCAGCTACATATCGCTTGAACATCCTGGTGGGGTATGATCTCCACCAGGAAGCTCTCAATTCCAGTTCTCCCACGCACAGGAAGAATGTAAGTTTAGTTATTAATAATACACTAGCAAACCAGTGAACCAAATGTTCACCAAAAGAAATGTATTTAATTAATTGAGAACTTCGGAGATTTTGTGTGGTTTCGTTTGAAATAGAAATCACGTGATTTCTCGAAAACCGGAAGTGCTACGTTACTCACATCCGGTTTGTAGTCTTATCAGACTATTCTTAACTTATAACTTAAACATTCTCTATATCTATCTCTTACGGTTTGGCCGCTGAAACAGCACCACGGACGGACGGACGGACGACTTGTCTAATAGATAAGAGATGAGGATGGTATCCAACGCTGCTACATATCGCTTGAACACCGTGGTAGAGTATGATCTCCACCAGGGGACTCTTAGTTCCAGTTCTCCCACGCACAGGAAGAATGTAAGTTTAGTTATTATGAATACCTGAAGATGGAATCCAACGAAGCTACATATCGCTTGAACATCCTGGTGGGCTATGATATTTACCAGGGGACTCTTAGTTCCAGTTCTCCCACGCACAGGAAGAATGTAAGTTTAGTTATTAATAATACCTGAGGATGGTATCCAACGCAGCTACATATTGCTTGAACATCCTGGTAGGGTATGATCTCCACCAGGGGGCTCTCATTTCCAGTTCTTCCAGGCACAGGAAGAATGTAAGTTTAGTTATTATGAACACCTGAGGATAGTATCCAACGCAGCTACATATAGCTTGAACATCCTGGTGGGCTATGATCTTTACCAGGGGGCTCTCAGTTCTAGTTCTCCCACGCACACGAAGAATGTAAGTTTAGTTATTATTATGAATACCTAAGGATTGTATCCAAAGCAGCTACATATTGCTTGAACATTCTGGTGGGGTATAATCTCCAGCAGGGAGCTTTCAGTTCCAGTTCCCCCACGCATAGGAAGAATGTAAGTTTAGTTATTATGAATACCTGAGGATGGGGTATCCAACGCAGCTACATATCACTTGAACATCTTGGTGGGGTATATCCTCCACTAGGAAGCTCTCAATTCCAGTTCTCCCATGCACAAGAAGAATGTGTTGACGCATCAATGAGCTGCCGGAGCCGGAACATATGTCAAAACAACCTAAGCGAGTGTAACGCTATGAGACCAGAAGGAAAGCACTAGGGACTGTCATCAATACCTATCCCCATAGCCCATAGCATAAGCCGGTAGCATGAGCACCAGCAAAAATACATTTTGTACATTTTTTATCGCGTCCTACTGACAAAAATTTAAAGTAATTTCTCAATTGAGATTCTGCTATGCTTCTGCTTAGGGGGCCTGAGGCTGGTATCCAACTGAGACACATAGCGCTTGAACAGTGTGATAGTCTCCAGTAGCCAACCATACTTATATATTATTATTTATCTTTTTTTTTCTTTTCTTTATTTATTTAGAGGCTTTTATTCCAAGAATATGCCAGCATCATCGTACCCTAACCAAAACATACATAACTAATTTAATTTAAAACATTGGAGAGAGCGAGCTATTCTTACTAGCGAAAATCATATCAAACATCGACTTTGCTGCATCTGAGTTTGGTAGTGCTAATATTTCCACAAACGAACCTATATTTTCAAAGTTAAGTTGATATTATTGTATGAATAGCTCTCTCTCTCTCTTTTGTTCTTCACACATTCCATCAAAATGTGGTGGACATCGTCCACTATTATCATTCTTACCTAGACATTTTTGAGGGAGACCCATACTTATCAGTGGGCGTTGAATGATAAAATAATAAATGATGTTACTTGAAGATGATATCCAACATATCCCTTGAACATCGCGGTGGGGTAGTCTTGAGAAGCCAACCACTAGTTATTATTACCATTCTTACTTGGAGATCTTTGGAGGAGGCCTATGGCAGTGGGCGTCGTATGGTTGACTAGCGGCCCGCCCTCGCTTTGCTTCGGTGTAGAGCTGAAGTGTAGACTACAGTTTTTGTTCTCAGGCTTGTATTATACACAATGACATTCATCTATGATTCTTCTTATACCTGCATGCAAAGTCTCAGCCTGGTCGGTTTAAAATTGAAAAAGTTTCATACAAACTTTCATTCCCTATTTTATCCCCTTGGGGGTAGAATTGATCAAAATCCTTTCTTAGCGGATGCCTACATCATAACATCTACCTGCATGCCAAATTTCAGCCCGATCCGTCCAGTGGTTTGGGCTGTGCGTTGATAGATCACTATGTCAGTCAGTCACCGTTGAGTTTTATATATATAGATTGAAAAATGATTATACCTGAGGATGGTATCCAATGCAGCCACATATTGTTTGAACATCCTGGTGGGATATAATCTCCACCAGGGTGCTCTCAGTTCCAGTTCTCCCACGCACAGGAAGAATGTGTTGACGGCATCAATGAGTCGTTGGCTGTCGGAGCCGGCACAAGCGTCAAAACAGCCTAAACGAGTGTCTAGGGCGATGAGGCTTAGAGCTGGAAGGAATCAATATATTCTTATCAAAAAAATAAATTTGTAATGAGAGCCAAGTTCAGTATCATTATATATGTTTTAGTTGTTTTCTGCAACGACAGAATAAGTGAGATCTAAATGGGTGCAAAGTAGTTTTAACGGTCTGTCCTGAAATTTATTTATAAGAACCTGAAATATGATTTCTTCTTATAACTTAGGAATATATTGAAGCCTAAAGTCCAAATATATATAAGCCTTCGCAACATCCTTAAGAAGAAAAAAATCAAGTCAGGGTCAGCCTGGATTTGCACCAGCACCAAGGTAGCAAAGCGACCGCATACACTGCTATGCTATCTTGCCTTAAAAGCCTAAGATACAGGTACTGGAAGAGATTCAACACGACCATTAAGGTAGCTAAATTCAACGAAATAGTCCAAATAGGCTTAAGAGAGAGAGAACATTTTTATTACAAAATGAATATATGTATTTATGAAAACTAAGTAGGTAAGCTAATTTGTAAACATTAGATCTCTCTACAACACGATCTATACGTATTTAATACCTAATCAAATTAAATAGTTTTTTTAAGTCATAAGTAGGTAAATCTTAAAATGCTCCAAAAATATTGTCTATTGGGCAATTTAACAATTTTATTCATATTCCTCTATGCTTAATGTAGGTACCTAACTAACTTAAACAATCACAGTCAGTTACCAAAAAACAAAGCAAATGAGTGTTACATAATTCGACGTGGAAAATAGACAAAAAGGTACAACGAATATGGTAATGCCAATATTATTAAGTTGTTTGCAATCAGCACACAGCTAACATCCTCGACAAACACGCACATTATGCAGCGCAAACAAGCAAATATTTAACGAACACACCAATATTGGCTTACAACAGTTTAAAATTAAAAATAGAATACAGTTTCTAAATTTTCTAAAAAAAATGGTTGCCTGTAAAGTCGGTTTTACGGGCGAAGATTTTACGTGACAACGTCTTTTTCTCGGTAGAATATTTATTGATATGAATATAATTAAATTGCACAATAGGAACAAGGAATTGAATGAAAATAAGAATTGCACAAATTTTAACTATAGAAATATATTTTGTTTACTAAAACATTGTACATGTAAACTTAAACTTAACACGAGAGACTCATCGTAACGTTACCGAGCGTTACACTTTTTCATAAGTGACTCCCAGCCGCAACCTAATTTAAGACGTTGTCACGTCAAAAAAATCACTAAATTTTCAGACTTTTTCTAGTTTTTAAGTTATATGGTAGAAGTTAGATGGCACCATAGAAAAGTAACGTAATCAACACAAATGCCGTAAGTGCGAGTGAAATGGTAACCCGAAACTAATTCTTCTAAACATTTTCTAAGTACTCCCTCCCAGCCTTCGTCATAATATTTGTAAAATATAAAACATTGACTTCTGTTTTATCTCTTGGTCGATCATAATTAATGTTTTTACAGTAGTGCTGTTTTGTAAGAACCTTTTTAAAAAACTTATTTTTTAATCCGCGTGTAATTTGAAATTAGAATACGAATTTGATTGAAATTGGTGTTCTAATTTTAAATTAAACACGGATTCCGCAGTAAAAGGATCTGTAACCTTAGCACGAACTAATATCGAATTCGTATCGTTTGCGAGTAAGAAATGTCATTGTCAAATGTGTACAGATTTTTAGTTTTCTTTACGTACAATATAGCGTTAATTTTCAAGTTTTTATACAAAATTTGACATTGACATTTCGGTTTGCAAACTATTTGAATTCGATAATGGTTCGTGCTAGGGGTACTATTCCTATAGAACAGCACTGCAGGAACAATAAACCGATTTTGATACTTACATTCTAAGGACCACTTGTGAATTTCATTCAAGAAGTCATCTGGCGTCTCTAGGTCCTTGTTCCTTATTTTGCTTATTCTGTAAAAAGAAATAGGTAGGTTCCTAAATAAATAATAATGATAAGTCTCCCTGGGTAAAAATAAACTAGTCTGGTCTGGGAGCACAAAAATAAATCGCAAGCCTCTAACGTTTCCGTGGTAAGAATCGTACACATAATCACAAAAGGTATTAATTCCCAATTTTAGTCAACCAACTATTATAAAAATTAACAAATTGTGTGGTCTTCGTCACAATGTACTAACAAAAGTTGAAAGTGAGTGGTATGTTATGTATGGGAACACCTTAGAACGGAATCATCATTCAACCATACGACACGCGATCGCTGAAGTTAAGCAACTTTCGCAGTGGTCTGTCATTGGATGGACGACCAAAAATCTTTTATCTCGGGTTCCTTCGTGCTTCGGAAGACACGTTAAACCATTGGTCCCGGCTGCATCTGCAGTTGTTAGCACTGGGCCCAATCTCCCTATTCCATCCATAGGGAAGGCCTGTGCCCCAGCAGTGGGGACATTAATGGGCTGATGATGTAACTGTCCGCGTTCAATGGCTTTAGTAAATCGTCGGTCCTGCCTCACAGGACTTCTAAAATACCGAGCATCGCTCTTTCCTTTGTTGATCCCTGAGCCTTCTTATGAGATCCGCAGCAAAAGTAAAGGATTCTCCTCACTACGTGTCCTGCCCATTGCCACTTCAGCAGAGCAATCCTTCGAGCGATATCGGTTACTTTAGTTCTCCTACGGATTTCTTCATTTCTGATTCTATCGTCTCTCTCTTCATTGCTCACTGTGTAACCCTGCAAACCTTCTTATGAATCCCGCAGTAAAAATAAACGGTTCTCCTCGCTGCGTGTCCCGACCATTGCCACTTCAGCAGAGCAATCCTTCGAGCGATATTGGTTACTTTAGTTCTCCTACGGATTTCTTCATTTCTGATTCTATAGTCTATCTCTCGATTGCTCGCTGTGTGACCCTGAGCCTACTTTTGAGACCCGCAGTGAAAATAAACGATTCTCCTCGCTATATGTCCCACCCACTGTGAAGTGTCACACTAGATAGTACCGTAGATGAATGATTGCTCTTCGCTAAGCGAGACCAATCATTCATTCATCTATGGTTAGTTCTATACCTAATATACTTACTTAAGACCTTACAGAAACAGTAAAATAACACTACATTTTCGAAATGTTGTGTTTCTGCTGGTGATTAGGGTTCCAGGCCTCCGCAGGGTAGGGATTGGATTCAAGCCGGCAAGGTGCATCTACCTTCGCGACTGAACTCCACTTCCACTTAAGATCAAGTGGGGTGAGGTAATTTGTTAAGCGTCGTATGAAAAAAAAAAAAGCTACATCTCAGACCTGTAAACAAAATCATCGGCGACTTCAGCCACTGGCTCCGTATACTGCGCTGCAGCACTGACGCTCAACGCAACCCTGGATACTTTAGTTCGGAATGCTGACCATGAATCCCCGTGCCTATAAAATCACAGATCAAAAATATAAAAAGGTTTTTATAGAGTTTGTACTGTGCTTGGACTATTGAAAGTTAATTTATACTAAGATACAAATCCATACTTACTATTTACTGACTTTACTTACTAATGAAAATTTTACTAGAAAAAAATCCACGCAGACCAGGCAGCAGACGGGATGTGTATCTGCGTGCGTATAATTGACTTACTAATATTATAAAAGCGAGAATATGGCTGTCTGTCCGTCTGTCACCTCTTCACGCTTAAACCGATTTCGATGGAATTTAGTATTGATATAGCTGGAGTCTCGGGAAAGAACATAGGCTAGTTCTTATCCTATAGATCACCCTTTAAGTGGGTGAAAAGGGGGTTGCAGTTCGTTATGTGAAACCAATTTTTCGCACCCAGACGAAGTCGCAGGCACCCACTGTGAGTAAGGTTGATTCTATAAAAAATAAAAGCTTTTTTCCTTCTTACGTCGTAACTTGAGTAATACTTTTTTGTTTTTCATACATTTCATACATCTTTGTTTAAAAAAAAACATGAAATTGCGCGAAACTAAAGTTATCATAGACTTGTATTCCTTATTGTGTAGTCGTTTGATGAATATATTTGGTTAATAATTGAATACAACTCACACGGATATCACACCAGCACAGTTTTCTTCGGCGCTGAAAAAATCCTTTCTCAAAACGTGCTTGTAATAATTAAGGGACGGCATTGCAGGTCTGAAACAAACAAACATATATAATTTTATATTATTTTAATCTCCTAATTGCTAGAATATTATCATCATGACATAATATAAATAAATATAAATTAATAACTTATTTTAGAAACTGAATTATTTAATTTACATTAGACCTTACGATCAGGGGAAAAGTTTATTCGTATGTTTTACAGAAACTAAATACTTTTATTTTCAAAGATTATTAAAATTTCAATATTTTAAGATGTTGGTTAGTATCTCGTGCATGTTGTCCGATTACTAATTGCCTTCTATTTTTAGGAGTGTTCGTGTTGTTAGTAGTTGCGATGCTCAACCAATTTTCGTGACTTTTGATTAAAAAACACTGAAATAAGACTTGTTATCATCAAAATATCGTAGTTGCATAAGACCCGACGGTTCACCTGGGAGCCAATCGCCTAACGAGGTTGCTATGGCTTACAATCATATTAATTTTGTTATTTCTGACCACCAAAGGTTTTCAAAACCTCATGCTCATTTTCTTTAATACTGTTATTATCAATACAAAAGGAAAGTGTGCTTATGACCACAAGACTGAAATGAAACTTCATTAGCTCCATCTGTATGTACAATATATACCTGTATGTACATACACATCTTTATATATATAATTCTTCTGTGAGTGTGTATGTCACTGAACTTCTCTTAAACGACTGGACCGATTTTGATGAAATTTTTTGTGTGTGTTCAAGGGGATCTGAGAATGGTTTAGATTCACAATTTTGTCCGCTGGACAACCCCTATTTTTTTAGGGCGGTACGAAGTTCGCTGGGTCAGCTAGTAACAATATATTAATGTTCTACAAATATTTAAATTTATTTTATGTTTTCATTGATAAACAAAAAGTCAAATTTACCAATTTCAAATTTCCCAAACTTAACCTAAAGATTTGATGATAGAAAAAAATAATCATACGGCGGATTTCAATGGCGTAGAATTACTAGTAAAATACTAAATTTTGATTAATTATTGATAAATTTCGTCGTGTAATCAATTAAAAAACCTATTTCAATGGTTACCATCAAGTAAACATGTAAGTTAGCACTAGATTCATATATTTTGTGACAGGTATTGTTCATTGTTTACCGATGAGTCAGTTTACGGTGATACTAATTGTAACGCGTAACTCGTAACGCATTCGCCAGTTTACCCCCCAAGTCTAGCATACACCTAGGTACATAAGTTTCACTTCAGAAAGAGCTGTAGGCATATGAAAACCTTCGGTGGTTAGAAATAAGAATATGAAATCGTAAGCCATCGCGATAGCCATGGTAAACCCGTTAGGCGATTGGCCCCCTGTTGCCCATAGACATCTGCAACACCAAAACTATCCCAAGTGGATCACTGACCTGCCCCATCCAGACTCTCCATGAGGCTACAAGACAGAACGCGATTACGAGACAGAAGATGTGCGGACACAAGAATAAAAGTAAAATTAAGTGTAACTGGTTTTCGGAAGGAGTGTAAATAGAAAAATTCTATGGAAAAGATGAAACGAAAATGCGTCACAAGCGTCACACGACCATATATATATATGTGTATATGTGGGATGCGTGCGCAACTCTTCCCGACGAGTATGAAAGTTGGAACGTAACTCGGCGAAGGCTGAAACGCTAATAGCGTCACGAGCGTCACACGCGACAATATACGAGTGAAGCGTGCGCTGCTCCATTCCCCTATGCCCTATGCACCGCCTAATGTTAGGTTATTTAAGAAAAGTATTTTCACTTCAGAGGAGTGGTCCGTGCACATTTTTATTTTGGAGATATAAACGTTACTTATTATTATTGGTAGGCTCTTAAACTTGGTAGTTATCCTCGTCACAAGCTCCCGGTGGAGAAAGAAAGCGTTAAGCCATTTAAAGAAATGAAAAAAAAGACTCTTTTTTGTAGCTAACGCAGTAACCATCCATCTATCAATCTCAACCAGCATTGATTAACACTAAACCTAACCCTACTTTAATATATTTTCAAATTTAATAAAAAAAATGATATTTTAAAGGACATTTGTTCAGCGTTCATACATAATTAGCCTAAGAAACAACAATCATGACATATTATTTTCTAGGTTCAAAATCGTAAGTAAATGACTGTAAAAACAAAGATTATTGACGGACACTTCTGAGAACTTAAATTATTAGGAAAATGAAAATTTTTTTGAGGTTATGTTTAATATCAATGAAACATAGGTCCACCTCTGAATTTAGTATAAACTCAGTATGAAGTGAATTAATATTACAACTAATTCATTTTATTCGGTGTGATTTTAAAGAATAACTATTAGGTTTTAAACTTGGTTAGGTAGGAATCATGAATAAAATAAAAACTGTAGTTTTGCTTCTTATTTATTGACTATTTTTCACATAATTATATCATATTGTTTATTGTATTTATTTGTATATCACATGTAGGTATATTGTGTAAATATGCAGCGTGAATATGTATCAGGTGTTCTTGAATAATTTGGCAGTATGATCCTCTCAGGATGTTGTGGCACAGGTTCACTAGCACTTGGTAATAAGGGCTCTGCTCTTTGGTAACATCGATGGCATATTAGATAGCCGAAATAGTTAAATTAAAGGAAAAGCAATCGCAAATAAACACACACAACAGGTAATCCGAAACGAGAACGCACTTTCCGGTATATAATACTACTCTTTGGAATGCACGAATGCCACAGATTACTACGAATGCAAACTGCATGCACCACAACCACAGAGTAACGAGTTTTATGCCGGCCCTTCACTTGACAACAGTTAATCCTTGTCATGCTTAATAAGGAATGAAAAGGACAGACTGATGTCATGTTTTAAAATAGCAAATACGAATAGCCAAGTGAAGTGCCGGCATTAGGAAGAAAGAGTGTTTTGTTTGCAGCGCTGCCATAGATTATACACATAAATGGTATTTATTGTCGCAGATTATTTTTTAACTTTTTAATTTAGCTTACTTAACTGGAAGTGTCCGTCACAATCTAAATACTGATAATTATCGCAAAAAATATACAAAGAATTATCATAAATGCCAAATTGATGTTGGTTCTTAGGCCAATTTTAACATTGTCCTTTAAAAGTAATGAAGAAAAAGAGAACGAAAAGAGACAAGAGCAAAGAATATCTCGTAAACAAAAATGGACGGAAAATAAAAACTCTCAAAAGAAAAATAAAACAAAAAGCGCTAAAAACGAAAAAAAAACACAGTGATCCTTTTTGTAGCAGACGTAGCACCATTGCATATTGTGAAACTCTGTTATTAACTTAAGATTTGTTGGATGAAGTTTTGTTTTGATTGTGTTATGACAATAAGCTGATGTGTTTCGATATAAAAAAAGAGACAACTGAATAAATCGAGAGTATGAGTGGCCAGCACTCCTGCAGCCTCCACTCACTAAGACTCGTGCCAAGAGCCTCTACGAGGCGCCTCGTAATTGTCTGAATGGGACATTAAATGTCTTTAGGGCCAGGAACAATAAATTTTTGATTGAAGCATTTTTGCAGGCCGGCAAGGTGAGGATGATTGATGTAGCAGTTTATAACTGCTGTACCAGCTATCTTCGCGTTTGGACTTTATCGCCACTTAACATCAAGTGGGGTACAGTCATTTGACTACCTCGATATAAAAAAAATAACAGTTTTGCTATAAGATGCCAGCCTTTAAGGAAGGAGTACCTATGCTCTTTTTCTAAATGTCGTATTGGTTTAAAAACACTGCTGGAGAAAAGTTATGTTGTACCCACCTGTGCGGTGCCCCATCTTCTGACCGAAACACCCTTTCCACTTCTCTGGCATCGAACACAAACAACATATCAGGTCTTCCTAGAAGTCCAGCCATCTTCACGCAGTCGCCGTACTGCTCGCGGAGAGATAGGCACACCTTGTCCACATGCTCCACGGAGTAGTTGCCTGTAGAATTAAAATACGCGTATACCTTTGGAAAATAACATACATGTTTTTCAAAAAGCTTTTAGTATATTTAATAAGTGATTGAGAACATTGATTGATAATAATAAAATCTTGCAATTCCAGCACGAAAGCTGAACCATGACCCGTTTCTTAATTTAATTACAATTTCGCTTTTTGGCGTGCGATGGCACAGCACGGCCTACTCGATTTCCGGAGCTGTGCGTTTGGATAGTATCAATATATAAGTGCGTTTAATTATCTTTGTAACATATTTTTTTATTATTTTAGGTGATGTATTGTATGACAAGCAAGGTAAAGTAAGGCTGACCTTGAACTGTCCTGTGTTTCAGGGAAAAAAGATCATAATGTAACTACTGCTATGCTCTTATAGATGCGTTCCTACTACCACAGCGGAACTTGAACATAGGGAATAAATTAGTGCGAATTTATTGCAATATCTAAAGACACCTTCTAATATTTTAAAACCAGAAGTCATTATCTGTATCTCACGCTTGCAAAAATAAGCCACTGAATAGATTTTGATAAATTCTCAGATAAGGAACAAAGTCTACTTTGGTCGCGCATATATAATATGCCGAAGAGTTGAAATGGGGAATCAAATGTCTAAATTTATATTCAATACAAATTTTCTACCTATCTAAAATCGGTTATTGTACCCGTATCCGATTTATCAAAATGTTTTATCTAGGATTAATAGAATTTCTCTTCTCTATATTGATTGATCGATTTCAAAGTTACTGTTAGTTTATCTCTTAATAAAAAACCAATTAGTTAACTAACTTTTCGTCTGAGGAGACAACAAGATATTGTTATCGCAATTGTGAAATCGAACTTAATCGTACGATCTTCATATAAATTGAACTCTGGGGGACTACTCTAAAAATCTTTGAGCTATGATTCGGATAATCCTACTTCCTGCTAAAATTTAAATGTTTGTGTGTATGTGACTGAATCACGCAAAAACTACTAAATGGATTTGGATGAAAATTGGTACGCATATAGTTTATGACCTGGATTTAGACATAGGATTCTTTTGATTCTCAAAAAACTAAAGATGACGCAGACGAAATCACGGGCGGAAGTAGTTTAAAAATATTTCATAATTATCATGTTAACCGGCCTAAAGCATACAATATTAAATATAAAACGTTCAAATTTCGGTTCGTTAGGGTTTGAAAACACTGCTGGCGACAATATATTCCATAGTTTTTGTCGCGTTGTATGATGGCAAAAAGCAGCTCCTGGAATTAATCCGAATAACTCCCCAAAACATTCCCCGTGATAAATGCGGTTGCGGATGCAAAGCGAAGCTACTACTGAAAATTTAAAATTACTTTCTGTTCTTCACGTAGTATAGTCATAATATTTATTGCTTCATGTTGGTTACATTTAGTTCTTAAATGTAATAACAGCTCTCAAACATGAGCCCTGCAAGGGTATTGCAAATTATAATAAAAGTATACTAATATTATTTTAAAATTTGATAAAATTAGAATAGGATAACAATTTAAGATAGATAGAAAAAATTAATTAGTTGATAAAAAATATAATTTTTTAATATAAAATTAATTCATATAATACTTTAAGCAATTATAAAATACATACAGGGTTAGGTCAGGAAATGTATGTCAAATAAAACAAAAAATAAATAAACAAGTAATAATAACATTTAAAGTAATAATCCATTCAAAATTCATTCACATAATATTTATAATAATTTAGTTTCATAATTTCGGTTTAGGTCAACAAATTTACGTCAAAAAATTCAAATCAATTAGTCTAACAACATTAATTATAACGTCATATACAAAATTTATAATGTCATACACACACAAAAAAGAATACAGATTATTTGGTGTTATTAAAAATTTATCATTTAAGTATGTATGTAATACTTGCGATAGTGTGCTGAGTTTCGAATTGACTCCAAATTTAAAAGTTGGTAATAGACCCCCTGAGCCTATCCTAACCCCATACAACTTTCTACAGTCACGATTTGCTGATACCCTTGATCGTGAAAGTCAGAAAGGTTACTCTCGTTGTAGTAAGATAATGATTATATTACTTGCTTTCTCGCATTTTCAAGCACACCAATCATTAAATTCAATAAAATACTTTTGAAAGAATACCTATATGTAGCGTGATGTGATATGTTTTTGACGTTTCAAAATAATTAAATAAGTTACTGCTGTGTACGGGTAGGGTTAACATTCATCCGGATTAGTCCGGACATGTCCGGACTTTTACTATAGTCCGGACTTTGTCCGGATCTTTAAATTGTCGGGATTTTTAAAATTACATTGAATATTAATAATAAAAGTAGATATTGATTTAATTACCATACCATTGTAACTAAGTGAGTAATGATACCATTTTGTGACTAAAAACTCCGAACTTTTTTCGAAATGTCAGGATTTTTGTCAGGACTTTTGAAACTCCTAAATGGTTACCATATGTACCTACGGGTGAATCTCTTCAATTTACTATCCCCTCGTTTTCACCAAGAAACAAGTAACTTGTAAAATACTTGTTGTGGCTGTTTAAAACATTCTGTAGTTTACACTGCATAGACAACTAATGTCTTACAAGTGTAAATCACTTATTTACTTCACATATTTTGTTTATTCAACAAGTTTGATGCAAGTATTGTATACTAAATGTTTTATACATGTTATCATCACCAGCCTATTAATGTCCCCACTACTGGGGCACAGGCCTTTCTTTATGGACGGAATTGGGAGATTGGGCCATGACTCACCACGCGGGCCCAGTGCGGATTAGTGGGTGCTAACGACTTCAGATGCAGCAGGGACCAACTGCTTAACGTGCCTTCCGAAGCGCGGAGGAGCTCGAGATAGAGATAGCTGCGAAAGTTCTACGACCGCAGCCGAATGCGCTAACCACTTGTGCCATCGAGCTCGAGTTTTATAAATATATGTAAGTGTGTACCAAAAATCAAGACATTGTAAACAATTTATTTTATATTCATATTCATTTATTGCATTCTTGCTGTTTACATACTGTTACAAATATATATATATATATATCATTAAATAAAACTAGTTTAAACGGGTTAATGCACGAAACTTCAATAAATAAATAAAGTTTCGTGCATTATCCCGTTTAAACTAGTTTTATTTAATGAGTGATGTGCGTGAAAACCTAAGAAACAAATATATATATATCATTCCAAACAAGAACCCTGTTAGGGTATTGCAATAATCCTAAACTAAATAGATAATTCTACTGTCATAATTATGAAACGTTCCAATATAATAAAATTTTCAATCCTGTTTAGCATATTGTAAAAATTAATTCAATTGCCCAAAATATAATGCAAATGTCAAAATTTTAAACTTAATACTAAATAGGTAAATCTTTATCATATACATGTTTTATACCTTGGTATAAACGAGGGGTAAGACCATGGCAAGACCGCATTTTCTGACACATAGTTAAATGTAAGTATAGCTACAATACTATAGAATAAATAACCATTTTTATTTTTTTGACAAGTAACTGCTCGATAGTTAAATCTAAAGAAAATATTACTATAAAAAAATCCACGCGGACCAGGCAGCAGACGGGACTAGAACCATTTTGTCAAAATTTTACACATTTTATAATATTGTTTGTTATTAGCGGTATTGCTACCATGTATCTTGTTTTTCGATTATTCGGCCCTGATAATGCGGCTCTATGGCAAGCGCCATGATCACGGAGTAACTCACCAGTTACTACTTAATATAAAATCTAGAAACTACAGTAGCATAAAATATTATAGTGATAATGACCATGTAAAAAAACAATATTTGACACATTCTACTGTGTATTTGATGTGCCATTGACTAAAAGTCACATTTAACTATGTATGCTTTGTAATAGCCGAAATTATAACAAAATCAATACATAACCACCAGCGGATCCGATGTGGATTCGCACTATTCCGATATAGATTCGCGCGGATCCATATGGGATCCCACTGGTATATGGATATCTGGCCACTGTTCAGTAGATTTTATATTGTCAAAATTGCCCAGTTCTCATAGATTTTATATTGTGTTTTATTTTTAGTCTACATTTTTATCTAGAGCATGAGCTCTACTTAATGTCGAAATACTCATTGGTCTGTTCTGTCTATAGAGCAACACGGCCGACGCGGCCAGGTTATTGACCAAAATTAAAAAAAAAATATTTTACGATATAAAAAAAAACGTAAAGACAATATTTGTTATGATATTACGTCGAACTACGACATTATGACATTATGTATACATATTAGGTCGACATTGTGTCGAACTACTCATTGGTCTGCTTGTCCATAAAGCAACCCGGCCGACGCGGCCAGGTTTTGTCCAAATGTAAGAAATATCTTATTTTTCGATTTTTTAATTTTGTTCTGATAAGAATTGAATAAATAGACGCCACAGCCATAGTTTCATAACAGCTATGAAGTACAAGGCACGACCACAACTATCGACTAAAGAGAATGATCATGAATGAAAAAAAAATTGCATAATCACTATGCGACAAAAAATTTAATTACCTACATCATGGGCCTAATATCCGTCTTTTTGACAGCTACCAATTCATCATTTAAATTTGGTTTCGCTCTCAGGTTTCGCTACTCCCACATCATTTGAAAGTAGACAATATGATGAATGATACTTCATTCATTAACAAGTAATTAATGAATCAACTACTAAATTAATATTAATTTATAATCCTGTTAATAAGTAAAATAACTATTTGTAAGGCTTGGCGTGCGGTATGTTAAAATTATTAATAATATTGTTATTATTAATACCTGTATCACACGCGAAGAATGTTGAAAAAAATAATTATCACCGTGACTCAACCATTTTTATCCTGAGACTGTGTATAGCCTTATAAATAATTCATATAAGTTTGGAAGGATTGATTAATCGAGTTTATTAGGTAGTGAAATTTATTATTCAAGTATAGAATTTTAACGCCTA